GGTGAAATATAAATCAATATTTAAACATCAGGGTAGTTTTTAGATTAGCAAATGGGTCCGCTGTTATAATAAAGCACCTTTTTTTTTTTTTTTTTGTCAACAAATTTATAAAAGAAAATATGTATAATATACAAAAATTTTCTACAATTAGATAGAAAAATAATTCTTAATGTTAGGTCCGATTTCATTTAATGATTAATAAAATTATTAAAAAAATTATATATTTTTTGTTTTGTAATTAGAGACGAATTATTAAAAAGAAGGATAATTTTAATAATTTAAAATATACAGCATCAATTATTTTAATAAAAGAAAATATAAAACAAAATTATATATTTTTTGTTTTATAATTAGAGACAAATTATTGGAGAAAAAAATAATTCTAATAATTTAATATATACAGTATAAACTATTTTAATAGAAAAAAAATATCATACCGTGTAGATGAAGTTATAACCATACTTGAGAACCCTCGAAAGGAATAGAGTTCTTCTCCACATCATCTTAACAAAATCGTTGGACATGAAAACCTCCTCTCCGCTGTAATCAACACCGACGTCCGTCACCACCCTATAACAGTGCAGCCTTTCGGCTTTGCACCGATTGTAAGCCGTTTGATCGACAGCCGCCAGCAATAAATGGTTCTGCAGCGAAGCGGTGTCCTCTTCCAATCGAAGACTCTCCAAGAAGAGGTCAAGCATCGTCGTGTTTGAGTCCACGCTTGGTTCTACATAAGCTTTGTTCACCACTGCAATGATCACAGTCTTGTCCGGCGTTGACGCTTGTTTCAGTATATCCCCCAGCTCGTCCTCCCAAAACTTTGGTTTCTTCTTCGACAAAAAGAAAACAATAAGTGAAAAAAAAAAAGAAAAAAAAAAGGGGAAATTGTAGGCGTCACAATTATATACCAAAACCTTGTAGGGTTTGAGCAACTATATATATAAGGCAATATATACTCACGATATTTGAGTTTAGGGGGAAGGAGAATAAGGGGGTTGATATTGGAGGCCAGATGAACAAACATACGAGTCCTCCGGCGAAGAGCAAGGAGGAGACGACGGTAAAATTCGTGATGGAAATTTTGGAGCAATCCATGAAAACAGAGGAAGGATGGGAGTAGAATTCTCATGGTAGATTGCTTGTTAGTCTCGATTAGATAAAGGACTGTGATTGCTGTACCGCCGGTCAACACCCGGTAGCACACACCCAATAAAAATATACAAATATATAAATAGGTTAGTTTAGGAAAATGATGTGAATATGCTTAGCTTTCCATCAATTCATCCAGATATTGTCTACTCATGTTTCCAAACAAACACCAACAAGAACACCCAAAATTATCCCGCTTTGCTTGTGCATCGTCTTTTCAAAGGATCGTCGTTTTCTTGTCCTGCACTAGATGGCAGTGGTTGGTGGGTATCAATTTCCTCTTTATTCCACTAATGAAAGATAAATTACACATCTTAGCATTTTTTTTCAAATTTTTTATTTTTCTCAGTGGATTAGGAAGAGAAATCACGCGTTTCAATGAAAAAATTGAAGGGTGATTTTGAAATCTTTTTGGGGCATTTTTGTTCCTTTTAGTGGCCAATCATGGCCTGGAATCAAGTGACACTGTCCTTGATGGTGCATGCAAGGATGTGACTGTAGTGTGGAGGGTCGATGGCGAAGGGAGGGCCATTTGTAGATGTACTCAGGATAGTTCTCGGTGCGCTTGAGTTGGGTCTTCAATGCATCAATTTAACTATAGTACACTGCATTCAACATTCTTGAAAGCGGTCTTCCAGATCTGAAAATTTTCAATTTTTCAATATTTTTTTATTAGATCTAGTTGTTGCATCTCATGTGACAGTGAATCTTGATCTTCATTCTCTCATCTTCTTGGTGGGAAATACAGTTACAGTGTTTTGGATGCACTTTGTTCTAAAATTTGGGTTTTGGTTGAGATTTAAAATATGTTAATTGGTGGTCTTGAGAACAAAATTGAGAAATTATCTGGATTGGAGATGGAGTGATCACCATAGAAGGAGAAAATTAGCTAGAAAGAAATGTGAAACCCAGATCGAAATATGAGTTTTATGCTGTAGAAGATGTCTTCTCGAGTAGTAAACCCATATTTTGATATGAGTTCTTTGGAAAGATTGGGAGAGGGGGTGAGCGTTGGAGTCTATTGAATTTAAAGGTGTCAAAATTAGATTCATAAGAAATTTCTAAGGAGACAGATAGATCCAGATAAACGAGGCATAAGCTTTTAACCCTTGAGAGGCCTTATTAAACTATATTTTATTTATTGAACTGGGGGTGTGTAACTAAATGTGCCGGTCAAGAAGGTAAACGTAGCATTTTCCTTAGATAAAACTCCTTAACAACTAGTTATAGCAGTCACAAAATATATGAAAGTGCCTTCCAATTATTGTAGTTTTCTTTTTTATCTCTAATTATTATTTTATATTCTTTTAGTTCAATTTTAATAGATTTAATTTTTTAATAAAATAGAAATATATAATAACTTATAGATAGACTTTTATATTTATCTTTAATTAAAAGTATTTAAATAAAATTTTTTATTTAATATTATCTCTTTTTAACTTTAATATATTTATTTTTTAATAAAATAAAAATATAATAATTAATGAATATATTTTCATATTTATTTTAAATTAATCACTATTTGAAAAAAATGTAAAGCACTTTTTCGCTAACTCACCAAAAAAATGAAAAATGACAGATGTGAAGTTGAGTGGAAAACTATGTGCCGGTTTTAATCACGAAAAGTTATTTAATTTATGGGTTAATTCAATTTTTAGTCTATTAACTATCACCTTAATTTCATTTTAGTCTAGAAACTATGTTTTATTTCTAAGTGGTCTATTAACTTTCGGATTTATTTCAATTTCGTCTACCTGGTTATCTTTAACGGAAAACTTACTATTCTGTTAGAGAACAGTTAGTCCTCTAGCTATATTTGTTTTGATCTTTTAGTCCTCAAATTTATATTTGTTGTAAAAACAGTTTTTATACTTAAAATTATTATTTATATGCTCTGATATCAGATTTTTATTCAGGTTTTTAGAACTTAATTCAGACTACTACTAACTAATGAATAACTGATAATATTTTAAAAATAGAAACAATTAATGAAAATACCCTAAGAATAATTAAAGAAATGAGAAAAACCTGAATAAAAATTCGGTATCAGAGCTTAGAAATAATAATTTTAAGTATAAAAGTTGTTTTTACAGTAAATATAAATTTGAGGACTAAAAAATCAAAATAAATATAGTTATAGGACTAACTATTCTCTAACAGAATAGTAAGTTTTCCGTCAAAGATAACCAGGTAAATGAAATTGAAATGAATTTGAAAGTTAATAGACCACTTAGAAATAAAACATAGTTTCTAGACTAAAATGAAATCAATGTGATAGTTAATAGACTAAAAATTGAATTAAGCCTTTAATTTATACTGTCTTTATCTTTTTAAAACTAGTTTTTTTAACCCGTGGCTTGCACAGGGATTGCTTTTATGTTTTTTATATTATTTATTTAATATTATAATAATTTTTCATTAAAAATGAAGTATTTTGATTTTAATTTTTTAAAATTAATTTTTTTTATTTTTTATTTTTTAAAATAGATAAATATTTTTTTTCTTATGTCCTTATCATTATTTTAATTAATCTTCCAATCACAAAAACTCATTTTTTATCTTTTATTTTTTAAGGGTATTATAGTTTTTTAAAATTAATTTTTTTTATTTTTTATTTTTTAAAATAGATAAATATTTTTTTCTTATGTCCTTATCATTATTTTAATTAATCTTCCAATCACAAAAACTCATTTTTTATCTTTTATTTTTTAAGGGTATTATAGATAAATATAAAAATTATCCTTAAATATTTAATTTAGAGAAAAAGTAAAAAAAAGACAATAATTATGTTAGCATAGAGAGAGTATATGATAAATTCATTAATAAATACATTTAATACATTTTTTTAATAAATCAATTATTTTACATGTTTTATTTTTATCAATCAAATATATTTTTCCTTTAACTAAATATCTATTTTAATTTGTTAGACTCTTTGGCCATATATCTTTTTTAGTTATAAAATTAATAATTTTAATCAATTTTTTATATATCATTTTTTCTTTTTTCTTTTTATAACATATATTAATGTCACTCATATTAAGAATATTATAGTTTCTTTGCATTAATTTTAGTTTTAAGTTATATTAATTATTATTTATAATACATTTTAAAACATAAAATTATTACACCATTAAAATCATATAATAAATAATTATTAATTTTAGATTAATGTGGAAGATAAAGTGTTAATAATTAATAATATAATTAAAAATAAAGAGAAGTAAATACATAAATATTATAGATAGGTTTACAAATAAAAATTAAAAATATAATAAAATATCATAATTATAAATTTACAGTGTCATATAAATGCTATAACTATCATTTGTATTAAATAAAAAAATGATTATGTCACTGAAAATGAGATCTACTTAATTACAATTCATTTATATCTAATTTTCATTGGTGTAAATATTATGTTAAATACAATATAATTATAGAAATATTTTGCAAAATTTAAATTGCATAAAATTAACTATCAAATGAAAATAGACTCTTACTTCATTCATCTCAAAATAATAGACATTTTTTACTTTTATCTTGAGATTAAGGATTTAAAAAAAAAATTTTCTTTCTCTTATCAATTTTATCCTAAAAAATTAAAATCAAAAAACTTTTTTTATAATAAGATAAATAATTCAAATTAAAAAATAATTATAAAATATAATTTAAAATTTTTCTTTTCTTCAAAAATTTAAAAAATATTTACTATTTTAAAATAAATTTTAAATAAAAAATATTTATTATTTTAAAACGAAAAAAATAATGTAAAAACAAATCTTTCTAAATCTGGTTAGATGGACCCTAATAACGAGTCCGAGTCCTCCTTCATCTCATGGTGATCATGATTTTGCAAATAATTCAATCCAGTCATTTTAATTGGAGATTACCTAACATGTGACTTTAGGTACAGGTTAGTGAGCAATTAATAAGGTTAATTAGTGAGCAAGTAATAGAGAATTAAAATGTATTTACTATAATATCTCTATTAAAATGATAAGATCTTAGTTTTTTTATTGGGACGTTTATGCCCTTCTCTCCTTCCTTTCTCTTACACTTCTCACTCTTTGAAGTCCAGTAAAATTGTTTTCAGAACAAAACAAACACCAATTCCAAACAATTCTTCTCCCAGTCATTGTTGAGTCCTCTGGAAAGATTTTCCATCTAGGTATTAACAATCCAAAACCCAAAATTATCTTCATCATCCTCATCGCTCAAGCTTGTAAGGGCAAGGAGGGAGGAAGGAAAGGGATGTGAGACGCAGAAAGCGAGGCAGAAAGGCAAAGGAGAGAGAGGGTTTAAATATTTTAGGGTACTGTTATGAGGGGGTATAAACGTCTCAATTGAAAAATTAAAAATCTTTTCATTAAAACTCTTAAAAAATTTAAATAAAAATATTATATTAAATGTATGTCGATTCTTTATTAATTGCTCACCAATTGTAACTAAGAACACGGTGAGTCAATTCTTCAATTCTTTTTAATTGATAACTCAGAAGTATGATGGAATAGACTTGTTTGTGGATGTGATTAGGAGAAGCAAAAAGGGTTTTTTCGTGGAAATGGTGGTAATGATGAAGTGCTTAGGGAAAATGATAGGCGAAAATTTCAAGGAGAGTTGGGTGGACGTGGATTCATGAACTTCTCTTTGAAAGGAGGACAAATTAACTTTTCTTTAAAAAAAATTATTATTTTAATTTTTTTCGAGGTATTGTTACTGGTACATTTTGAATTGCGGTGGGGGATAAGGAGTTGGGGTAACTTGTCACCGTGGTCTCCAGTTTTGTCTTGAATTTGATATTTGGTTACTTGTCTTACCTGAATTCTAGATGCTTTCAGCAGTTTGTGTTTTGTAACCATCCAGCTATAATGCCAAAAGAAACTTTAATCTCTATTTCGTATCACGGTTAAAATTTAATAAATAGAAAATAATGGATAATAAATAATAGATAATGATTTGTAAAAAGTAAGTGACAGATAAAAAATAATAAATTTAATAAATATAATTATTTGATTATATAATAGTTAATTATCGTTGTTTAATATTAAATGATTAATAAAGTTATATTTAAAAATAATTTATTTTAAATATATTATATTAATGTCAAAGGTTTACTTTTAGAGTTATTTTTAAAAAATATTTACTATTTTAAAATAAATTTTAAATAAAAAATATTTATTATTTTAAAACGAAAAAAATAATGTAAAAACAAATCTTTCTAAA